GAATCAGCGGGGTTCCAGGTGAGTCTCTCGAAAAACCAAATTTGATTTTAAATGAGTGTATATTCGCTAATTTCGTGCAATTTGGTTTTAAGTAAAACATAAGGTTGACGGAAACTCGGGGACTGCGCCTACCTGATGAGCCCCAAGATGGGCGAAACCGGTCGTGGGCTGTCGATGGATTTTCAGCAACCTTATGAGTAGTACATTACAAATGTACATGTATCGCGATATCTCGATTATCGTAGCGACTGAAACATGAGGCGGCCTTGTGCGGCACACCCAGTTGCCTACGAGAGATTCAACTGGGTTCCAGGTGAGTCTCTCGAAAAAAAAACAAATTAGTTTGCAAATGACTTGTGTACTTGTTCATGCCAAGTAGTAGGCTCAAGCTCGTGGTTACGAATATTCACAGCGTTCACAGGTTTCTCCAAAGGACTCAAGTACCAACCTAATTTAGCCTCCTAAGAGATCACGCTGAAAACTTCTTAGTGCGGTATGGAGGGCAATGGACTCTAGTTTCGGCTCATGATTCTTAGTACCGAGTTCAAAACGAATGTTGCAAGGGGAAGTATTTTTGTGTGGCCTGAGAACTGCGGTAGGCGGTTTTTAGCAGTGCCAATACGACGCACGCATGCACGCAGCTTGCTATAACTTCAGTAGCTTTATCCAATTTCTCCAGGACATCTCTCGCTCCCTCGACATTTGCCATCGTTCATCTAATGCAGCTACAGACCACTCCACTAATCCAGCGTCTCAGTACTTTCATCTTAACGGCAGAGAAGTGCCAACTTTGTGTTTGCTCCATACTTGTCATCCTTCACATGGTCTCTCATTAGATGGTTGGGTTGTGGTCATCATGTGATCTGGTGATCAATACACGTGACCATGTAGTTCAAAATAACAGACACTCCAGAAGCCTGATCGAAAGGATATCAAAGGAAGCAGCACCTCGATGAAAATAAGGAAACATCCAGATCTACTAGCTAAATGGATGATCCTTCCGTACATCATGAACACATATGATTTCAAAGAAAGGATACTTCAAGTAAAGGGAATCTGATTGGCTCATAGATCAGCTGTGACCTTGAGGAAACTGATCCCAAGACAGAAGGACAAAACCAAGTAAAGCCTAAGAAGAATCGTTGTGTAGCTAATCAGTTACACGGACTGCAACGAATATCAAGTTGGACAGGGAGATAAAGGAACACAACGCAGCTCTCGAAAGATATGACTCATTCTCTCTTTGTTTCTACATATGACGATCATAAAGACAGTCTCAATTTAGGTCTAAAGATCATAGTACGCAGAAGTACAAGATACGAGAAGGAATTTCTGGAAGCATGGTACTCCGCAACGGATTCAGTTCACCCGAATTTCGAAATCGACCGTCTACGCATCAATGCGCATCGCCAGCTCAGTGGTAACACTAAATCAGTCTTGAACATCAGTCCAACGAACCAAGAAACAAACAAATGTCCAAGCAAAGGGCCTGGAGAGGCCAAGTTTCAAGACTAACCGGATAGGTCGACCGAGTGGCCAATAGGAATGCTCACCCAAATGACCAACAGTAGTTCAAGGTCGACCTGGGCGAGTAACACCAATAGTAACACCAATACTGTCTTCAATTGGTCAAAAACAGTTTGGAAAATAACAAAAAAATTCTGGGTTCGAACTTGAGTGGACATCCATGTTGCGTGGAATCACATTCGCCTTTCGATGTATTTGATTCTAGTGGGAGATGTGAAATTGATTGAAGACTTGTGAAGGGCCTTAGGCTGGACAACACGATGCTGAAACAAATGGCAAATTTCCCAGCAAGATAAAAGATAACACAACATTGTGGAAAGTCTTCGTTAGTGAACGGTTGTTTTGTACGAATACTTCATTACAACACACCCGTTTGTTGAGAAGTTAGCCTCGCTTACTGGTACATCTCAGGGAACCCGAAATTGGCGACGCGTCGATGGTCAGCTTGACATGTATCCCAGTCATTGAAAGTAGTATAGTAAGGTTTTTGAAATACTCTATTGTTTCTCATCTTAACCGGTAAGTGAACTATGAAACAAGCCCCCCTGACATGTGTTGATTTATTGAACTTTGGGTTTCGCTCAGTGATCGACAATTAAGTTCGTTTGCATCGCCCCGTCAGTGTTTATTCACTGCAATATTTGTTGATAATTTCTAAAGACCTGTCTTCGTCAACCGTGAAACAAATTGAATGCGCTTGTTGCGAGCATTAAACAGAGTTTCCCAACATTCCGTGCGACGTCACAACTCTGTGGCTATTGAATTAATTGGGTTTCCCCAATCGATTACGCCAAAACGTCAAGTATGCACGGATTACGTAACGTTGTCTTTTCAGATTGGTTGCACCCCTGGATAACGTGGAACACTGTACATCTATAGGCAAATCCATGGTAACATAGATTGGATAATCGAACGTCATATAAAGTTTTTGACAACATTTGATGTGGAATCAATCCCAGGGTGAGCAGATGGCCTTGATCGCCAGTTTTGATGCGTACCGTGTTGGTTTCATCAAATTAGTGCTTTGGTTGAGCACACAACCTTGACCTATTTTTGATGAAAACAATTCCTTATCCGCCTCTAGGCTCATTTTGCGCAAAAATATTATCTGTTCGGACGTAAAACCTTAAATAAACTTCTCGACGCTTTCAACTATCGTTCATGGCAACGAGACGGCAATATGTTATTCGTAAAGCCACGGAGTGATCCATCAGTAACGTTAATGCAACAAGTGCCACCAAATGACACTCGACTGTTTTTGACATGTGGAGGTGTAATGCCCGGTAGTGTCGGCAAATATCGTTCTTCGAAAGGGAACATGGCTGGACCGTCCCAGGATGTAGTTTAGGACAGTAATTCTATTCATTTATTGCTGGTCCAAAAATTTGGTAAAAATCAAATTTTGCTGAGAGGAACTATCTATTAGCTACACAACCGCTGGTGACTAAAAGAACTTTCTTCGCGAAGTTTGTGCCTGGCGGCTTTTACAGACTCCAACAGTTATCGGCGGCCCAGGTCTATACGTCGAGATCGATGAAACGCTAGTATCTCGCCGTGAAAACCACGCGGGACGAGTCCTTCCCCAGCAGTGGATTTTCGGAGAGATCTGTCGGGAAACTAAAGAGGTTTCCGTGTATGCAGTGCCAGATCGAACTGCGGCCACTTTGATGGACACAATCCAGGCCTGCATCATGAAACGGTTAATCATACCGAAAACTTTATGGGCCCAACGACTGGAGCCCACACACAAACCATCGAATCTCCCTGGCACGTGTACAGGATTTAGAATAAACGCCAATGCGGTACACACTGATGTTCAGTGGACAGCTACTTGTGTGAGTTCGTTTGTAGGCAAACGTACCGAAAAATGGACCTTTTCATGCAAATTATTAATGACATGTCCCATTTTAACCCACTTCAATAAAAACTAAAATTACAAATTTCATGTACTCTTTTCTTTTAATCTTTTTATGTGATGGGGTGAGTGGGAATTCCTCTCCTATGACTGTCTTCTTGTCGAAATGTTTTCAGCAACTTTATGAGTAGTATAGTATAAAATTCTACCCTCTTGTCTACCGACAGCAAACACTCAAAATGTTTAGGATTTATGATGAAAGTCATAAGTTTCTCATTACGGCACTGAGAAGTCTGCGAAACATCCAGATTAGAAGAGGTTTATCTGCCCCCCCCGCGAGGCTTGAAGGAACATTCAATCTCTCGTTTGTGATGTCCTCCAGCTGAATGTGCTGCACATAGGCCGCCTCATGATTCAGTTGGCACGATATTCCAGATATCGCAGTATATTTTCATAAAGCAAACTAGTCACAAGGTTGCTCAAAACTGTTCAGCAACCTTGTGAGTAGTTTCCTTTATGAAAACAGAAATTTGTTAGTCCCTGTCACATCCCGATAATCACTCTGACCACGTTGTCACGTTCCATTTTCATGAAGAATACTATTCACAAGGTTGCTGAACAGTTTTGAGCAACCTTGTGACTAGTTTGCTTTATGAGAATTGTACAGTCTTTCACATATCAGATAGAGCAGATATGATCTTCGCCAACTCTAGGCACTTCTTGCTCTTGATTTCTCCACCAATGAAAACGACTCACGGAATACATACTAAGAATCCAAGCTGTCTAATGCGCTCCTGGCATAGTTTCTCAGGTATGCTACCTGATTGCTGAAAAGTTATCACTATTAACGTAGACATCACGATGAGTGAAACGTTGATAGAGTGACTACACGTTTATCTGAGCTGCATACAACTCAGGCAACCTAGGATTGGGTAGTGTGAACCTCCAGATGGCTTGAGGTAATGAGCGTGCGTACAGGAATTTTTGGTCTCACTGAGGCTTCATCGATCATAAGAAACTCCATAGTGTTGGGTCGTACGATACTTGTATGAGAAACCATCAGATTCGGGTAGGTGTCTTGGTATAGTCACAAGCGGATTGTAGAAGTTTTCGAAGTAGGATGAGTCTAAGATGGCAACAACTTCTGGACAAGACCAGAAAAGCAACCAGCCAACTCATCAACAGTTACCTGGAAATTACACCATAGCGGTCATGTGATGTTCAACGGAACTTTATTCTTTCAGCCTTCCGTTGAATATGTGGTCGAATTTGACTTGGCACGCAGTGACTTTCTTTAGCAACTCGTTGCCAACTTATGGGTGCGGAACGCTATTCCGGACAGTGCAAAGCAAGTTGAGCAAGCAGCCGTCTTCGTAATGAGTTTAAATTTCCCCACGCAACCAGGATTGTTTTCGCTGATCCATTCAAGTCTTCCAGAATCAGTGACATAATTGGTCTGGTATGGTGAACTGAGGGACTGAGAAAATGGAACATGGTCCCAGTCACGTGGCCTTTACAGTCAGGCAGCTTAGTATTCAGTGTCTAGAGTGTTTGATACGATACAGTATTGTCCGCCTCTTTGGGAAATGGAATTTTAAACGAGAAAGTCCTTCATTGTGACGCCGGCTATTTTGAATCGATCCAGTTGTCGGGGTAGTTTCAAACCAATCCACGTGACCGCCCAGAGTATCATTCCCTACGGTGCGTGGTGTTACAAAATGTAGACTGATGGAAACTAGGTTTCGTAGTCAGTTAAAAGACGCTTATGTCTCTGAATTTTTCAGAACACGGGATGACGGTGGTTTGGAACATCTATCGGCGATGTCTGACGTCCGAACATCAACTGCTTTTCTCTTCTCTGGTTCAAACCTTGCTTCGGTCTGCCAGGCAGGTTTCATAGTGAATTTTCGGTTTCTCAGCAACCCCAACTGACTTGTGTGGTAAGAAACAGTTTACTAAAGTTTTGTCTCAAACGAATTTCGTTACATTCAGCGCCTCATGTTTCTTTTTTGGCGGTCATCTGTCTGTCCCCGTGTTGCGAATAAACCGGAACAAGTGATATAACAATTACCGCACAGCGAAGCGACCACACTCAGTCTGGCAAATGACAGTGTGACTACTCGATAGGTATACTGAATAAAAATTATTGCGTCCGCATATCTGGATCATGAATTATGCTTTGCGCAGCTTGACTTAGCATATTAGCTTCCCGCAGCAAAGCTTACTGCACACAACAAGCATCAGAGCGCTAATCAATAAGAAGACCAATCGATCACTGAATTCAAAAGTGAACGATCATCAAGCCGATTGCACTACGAGACCGACAGTACTTGTGTGCGTGAGTGAAAGCGAGTGGGTGAACAACAAATACGGATGGACATCGATTAAAAAAGACTAATGCACAAGTGACGAATCATACCTTTCAATCGATAAAATTGTATCAAAAATTGACTGATCAGAAGATTTTCCTACTTCCATGTTGTTTGGGGGATTTGAGGAGCTGCCACGCCGATGTCGGTGATTTTGTGGCCTGCTTTATGAAATCAAAAGTTTCAAAAAAGGAACGACAAGAGTGAGACATCCTGATTCTTCGTGCGCATTCATGTTAGTACCTAGAATTTTGTTCACTTCTACGTATAGACCACCAATACTCCTCAGCGCAGGATATAAACGAAGACCAAAGTGATCAGTCTCCAACGTCAGCACGTAAATCTTCGTTAACCGGAAGGAATAAATTGGCTTCACTAACGTTGGCAAAAACAAGATTTTTATTGCCATTGCAGATACTTCCATCGGGCGGAACAATTTGGCATTGTCATGGACCTAATCCATAAATTCTGTACAACTTATCACGAAAAGTGTTGTCTCTTATGTTTAGGTTACTCAGTTTTTCCGCTGTTCCAAACTATGACGTACCATCTGCCAAAACGGACGAGACAGCTGTCGATGAGGCAGAACACTGTTTCCGAGTCGTAAATCAGAGTTTCATTTCACCTGGTTATTTTTTCCGAATAATATGGCTACGAACAAAGGTGTGTTCCAGGTATCCAGTTTTGTTCCATTGACATTTTATCTGACGATTGCAGTACACGGCACGGTACCAGGCAATAAAGTGACATTGTTCAGCGGATTTATGATGAAACCGGGTTGAAGTATTCTATATACACAAGCGATTAACGTGGAATGGTAAGCTGACAGACTGGTGTGTTGAATATTCACGTAAATGGAGCTAGCAGCAAGGGGAGTTTTGTTCTGAAATTGAAGTCAATCTACGTTGAACAGCCGACAGGCAGTGCGTGGAATGATAAGCTGACAGACTGGTGTGCTGAATATTCACGTAAATGGAGCTAGCAGTAAGGGGAGTTTTGTTCTGAAATTGAAGCCAATCTACGTTGAACAGCCGACAGGCAGTACTTTCTGGCTTGCTTTGATGGAACCCACTATCCCGCACTACAAAAATGCACTGATCATACAATTTCGATCGATAACGAATCGTTTGGAACCCAGCTGTTCATCTCAGCGAGATAACCAACGAAAAGCTATAAAAGTGAGCCATCAGCACCCTATTAAAAAACAAATATTCTAGAATCCTCCAAGTATGAATAGACAGATTAGAGTAGATTTGAGAGCCCCTCTTACTTTCATCATAAAAGCATGAATATTCATTAGTCGGATGAACGCATTTGAACCCATATTTTTCAATCAATAAAATATTCAACGTATTGCTTCACAGGGAACTGCTACAGAACCGCCATCCGTAAAACCCGTAGTAAGAACGCAGGACACTCAATATTTCATTCCACTCCGTCATTGTTTATGTCGGGGCCTACTTATTCAAAGTNCTAAAGAGGTGTTCATGTATGCACTGCCATATCGAACTGCGGTCACTTTGATGGGCACAGTCCAGGCCTGCATCGCTCCTGGCTCAATCATCATCTCCGATGTGCGGGCATCGTACCAAGAAATTGAAACGATGATTGACAGGAATTATACTCATGAAACGGTTAATCATACCGAAAACTTTGTGAGCCCAACGACTGGAGCCCACACACAAACCATCAAATCTCCCTGGCACGTGTACAGGATTTAGAATAAACGCCAATGCGGTACACAGTGATGTTCAGTGGACAGCTACTTGTGTGAGTTCGTTTGTAGGCCAAGGTCGCGAAAAACGGACCTTTTCATGCAAATTATTAATGACATGTCCCATTTTAACCCTCTTCAATAAAAACTAAAATCCCAAATTTCATGTACCCTTTTCTTTAAATCTTTTTAGGTGGTGGGGTGGGTGGGAATTCCTCGCTTATAACTGTCTTCTTGTCGAAATGTTTTCAGCAACTTTATGAGTAGTATAGTATAAAATTCTACCCTCTTGTCTACCGACAGCAAACGCTCAACATACTCGAAATGTTTGGGATTTATAATGAAAGTCATAAGTTTCTCATTACGGACACTGAGAAGTCTGTGAAACATCCAGATTAGAAGAGGTTTATCTGCCCTTCCCCGCGAGGCCTGAAGGAACATTCGAATTTGCACGAAGTGGCATTAGCTGTGAAGTATTTATGCGTGGAGAACGGCCCTAATCAGCGTTCAACGCCGAAGCTTCTATCTCTCCAGAATTGGTGAACAGAACAGACCAGGCGTTGAATGCGTGGGGCAAATTTACATAGTCAGCAAAAGTTGGCAGTCAAAACGAATATGCCGCCCCTATCTGGACATCACAAAACCTCATACTGTTACTCGCCCTCGTTGGCAGATACGAGTGTTCAACCAATCCTCAAGGTCATCATCTTTTGATGTCAGCATTACACTGACTGCACAAATTGTTTTTGGTCACTGGAATTCAGTAAACTTCTCAGAGTATTTGTTAGAAAATAAACTGTCTCATAATCTATTGTTTAAATGAGGAGTCGTTTGGAAGCGCACACGTCACGTGTGCGGTAAAACAAAGTTCCTTCTATCTTGTGCCGCAGGGAGCCAAACTGCGGCTCAGCATAATCTGCTTTCTAGGCACCATGAATGGTCAAGGTGCCACGCGAATCACCTAAGTTCCGGCAAACGTTGAAAGCAACCGAGAATCGTGGATACCTTTGTTTATATACCTTCAATCAACTTCCTTTTGAACAACGAACTGACCGCTACTCCGAGAATTTTACAGTATCCCAAGGCGAAATATCTTCGTAGTGACCATGACTTTAAGAGAGGGAGATCAGTTTCAGAGCGTGTTGCACCTATCCACACAAACTACAAACACAAACACGTGATTAGACAACCTTTCGCCTGCGTTATTCACGAGTGATAACACCGTAGGCACTTTAGGGAGACTTATAATGTCGAGAAATACACTCATTTTCAAATCAAT